TTTCTTGAGACGGGGTCTCGCTCTGTCACTTAGGCCAGAGTACAGTGGCCAGATCTCAGCTTCCTGCAACCTCTGCCTCCCAGGTTCAAGTAATTCTCCTGCCTCAGCCACCCCGCCCCCACCCCAGTAATTGGGACCACAGGTGTGCGCCACTGCATCCAGCTAATTTTTTGTATATTTTGTACAGATGGGGTTTGACCATGTTAACTAGACTGGTCTCAAACTCTTGGACTTAATCGATCCACCTGCCTGGGCCTCTCAAACTGCTGGGATTACAGACATGAGCCACTGCTCCTGACCTTCTTTTCTTATTTTTTGTTACAACCCATAAAAAATGGGTAGCCATTCTCAGCCCGAGCTTCATGCTACACAAGCCAGCTGCCACAGACTGCAGCTTGCCAATCCTTGCTAGACCATTGCTTTTCCCGTTCAAACTTTGCCAGTCAGGAGCATGAGGACCAGGAAGTGGCCTGACTTGCCCAGGACCACTCAGCCCATGACAGTTAGGAGGGGCAGCCAGATCTAAGCCTCGTCCACCTGGGAAGTCAGGAGAGGCAGTGAATGCAGTATCACCTAAAAGACGTCACAGGTCTTGTAAAATCGCTACCAAAGCATGTATTTGTACAGGTCATAGTGCTTAGAGTTCAACAGAGGACGGGGAGAAGGTGACCTGTTGAAGACTGCAGGGAGAGAGGACAGCTACTCAGGGAACCTGAGACCAGCAGGTGACTGAGGTTCCAGTCGCTTTTATTCCAGCACTGGGATAAGCAGATAGAAAACAAACTGTAACCCATCTGACTTTTATTTATAAATAGACATTAACACAAGAATATCCTGAGAAAGAAAAACCCCCTGTAAAATTTTTTCACTTTGTCCCAGGCAAATTATTCTCAAGTAACATTTGGGGATAAGATCCAATTTCAAAAGAGAAAGTTAGGTCTGCCATTTTTCTTGGCCACTTAGTTAAGTAATTTCATAGAAAACTTAGGGAACTCAAGGAATTTTTTCAAGCCTCTAATTCATCAAATTTGCAAAATACTCAAACAGCATTAAAAATAAGTTTCTTCATGGCAGGCAAAAGATACAGAAATTTGTCACTACTCTTGGTCAACTTTTGCGGGTCATTTTGATTTATATAAATTCCTCAAGACTCTGAATTCAAACATTTTCCATGTTTGTAAAAGGTGTTATAATTCTGAGGTCAGATTTGTGCTTTGCTCTGTTCCCAGGGCAGTTATTAATAAGGTAAATGCAAAGTTTAGAAGAAATGGACTGTTATTTTCGTTGACTAATTTGAGTTTGGGGTTATTTTCAGCTTTTGTACTTTTTTTAAGCCACACCCAAGAACTTAACGTTTCATGTTCACAGGAAGGATTCCTGTTTGCTTTTTACTCTAATCTTTAATGGTATAATTCCCTGTGACTCGCTGACAATCCCAATGTTAGTGTAGCCAATATGTCTCCAGCTCATGTTGGGGTCTGTGTTACTGTGCTAAGTGTGCTGTGTGTTTGGGGTGGACAAAGGAAGATGTGGCCCCTGCCTTTGAGGCTGTCCTGGTTAGGGCACACTATAAAGTGTCGGTACAGTGGAAACAGCACTGCAGGCTGGAGGAGCAGGGCTTTCTGTGTGTGTGGGGGTCAGTAGGTAGAGGAGGCTTCATTGAGAACCATGGCCTTGAAAGATGGATGGGATGTCACTTGGCAGGGGAGGGACTCCCAAGCAGAGGGAACAGACTATGTAGAGGCAGGAAAGTGTAGAGCTTATGGGAGGGAGAAAGCAGAACAATGTGACTGTGCTGTTTGCACAGGTATGGGCATTGGGGGCGGTTGTTAAGAAACGGGGGCCAGACTGGATGGTCTGGAGTCCTCCATGTAGACCTTTAGACTCCATTGTTAGAGAGCCATTAGGAAATAGAGGAGGCAGGTGGTAATTTTAAGATGATTGTCCTAAAATAATCTTTGGCTTTGGACGGGGAGAAGGCTAGCAGCAGAGACTCCAGTTAAGAGGCTAGCGGAATACTGGTGAAAAGCACTGCGAGCTTGAACAAGGGAGAATGGAAAGGGAAAAATCAGTCCCGATATAGGAAGAAAGCATGTCCAAGGAAGAGAGGGAGGAGTTTGCAGGTTCTAAATCAGAATACTGAGACCTTTAAAATAGAATCAAATCCAAACAAGCGAAAAAACAGGAAAATGAACAGATTCTTTAGGGGTGGTGGTGATGTACTTGATGCACCCAGTACTGAATTTGAAGGGTGTCCTGAACCCTGGAGGGTGTTACGTGGAGTTGCCTGGCCAGCCAGGATAAAAGATAGTGGCTTTGGGAGGTGCATGTAGGTGAACCTTGAATGTGGTCACAGCAGGACAGGGAGGAATGCAGAGCCAAGAGTGAGCCAAGGGCAGAATCTGGGATGATCTATAGGCAGAATCTATTAATACCTTGTGCTCTCCTTAATGTCCCCTCAGAATACCCAAAGGCAAGTGGAACAACTCTAATGGTGTTGAAGAAAAGGAGACTTGGGTGGATGAAGATGAACTGTTTCCAGTTCAGGGTAAGCAGGAGATTCTCCTTGGCTTCTTCTTGATGCTTGCTGAAGATGCATGTTACTGTCATGTTAATATTCCAGAAGCTGCTTGTCTCCAATCTCAAAAAAGTTCAATAAGTTCTCGACCTCATTTTGATTCATGAAGAATCAGTTTGTTTGTTTGTTTGTTTTTCTTTTTCAGACAGGGTCTTGCTCTGTCACCCAGGTTAGAGTGCAGTGGTGTGAACATGGCCCACTGCAGCCTCAACCTCCTGAGCTCAAGTGGTCCTCCTGCCTCAGCCTCCCAATTAGCTGGGACTGCAGCTGTGTACCACCACACCTGGCTGTTTTTTTCACTTTCTGTAGAGATGGGGTCTCACTTTGTTGCTCAGGCTGGTCTCAAACTCTTGGGCTCAAGTGATCCTCCCACCTCGACCTCTCAGAATGCTGGGATTACAGGTGTGAGTCACGGTGCCCTTGCCAAGGAATCAGTCTGATGTCCTCTCCCATTAAATAATGGAGACTGTCAGAGTAACTAACACCTTACGTTTTTTTTTTTTTCCAAAGGGTTAAAATCTTTAATTATTAAAAAAACTCCTTCAAATAAAATGTTCCATCTAGTAGAGTGTTAAGCAAATATTATGACTAGACAAGGAAAATTTAAATTATTACATATGAGATTTTGGAAAAAGGTTTACCCTCTCTAAAATTCGAAGAAAAGATAATACATAAAAACAAAAGCTGAGATATAATATTTAATATAATTATTTCACACAATTTTGTCAGCAATTAAACATAGTCTCTATTGGTAAGATTCACTTTATAAAGAACATAGTTACTATGGAGAGTGTAAACTAGAAAACAATTTCTGGAAGATAATTAGGTGATATGTATCAAATATTTTAAAATATTTATATTCTTTGACATTTTAATCCCATTTCAGAAATTTATGCTATGAAAAAAAAAATGTATATATATATATTTTTTTTAAGATGGAGTTTCTCCGTGATGGCCAGGCTGGTCTTGAACTCCTGACCTCAGGTGATCCACCCACCACGGCCTCCCAAAGTGCTAGGATTACAGGCGTGAGCCACCAGGCCCAGCCTCGAAAATAATTGTTAATTGCACAAAAATTTGTATTAAAATTATTAAACTTCTGAAATTCCAACAGTAAAGCTTAAGTTGGAAAAAATAAAACACAAAGGTAGTATTCCAATCCCATAACCCTTATAAGCACATTCTTCCATCAAATGTATTCACAAAGAAAAAAGACTAAAAGGAACTATTCCAGAGATGTGTAATACTTACATGAATTATGACTGATTTTTTTTTTTTTTTGAGACGGAGTTTCGCTCTTGTTACCCAGGCTGGAGTGCAATGGCGTGATCTCGGCTCACCACAACCTCCGCCTCCTGGGT